GTAGTTTGGATGAGTTTCAGAATCAAAGAGGTCTGCCACTTTATTAAAAAGAAAACACGTAAAAAGACATACCAGGAACCGTATAATTATAGAAATCGTTTGTCTCGTCGGTCCACAGCTGCACGATGGGGAAGGAACCGTACAGGGAATCGAAGGAGCACGTAAAGGGGATGCCTGTGAGAACGAGACTGGGGCACTCCAGACGCAGTTTATTTTGTAGGCCAACCACCACCACAGTCAACGCTGCTTTCCCTCCAGACCAAGGCTCCGTCACTGTAGGGGAGGGGGAGGGGGAAGGAGAGCGAGCAGGGGAGAGGGGAAGGAGAGGAGAGGGGAGGAGAGGGGGAGGGGGAAGGAGAGGGGAGAGGGGGAAGCAGAAAGGGAGAAGGGGAAGGAGGATAGGGGACGAGGGGAGAGAGGGTAGGAGGGGGGAGAAGGAGAGCGGGGAGGGGAGAGGAAGAGGAAGGGAGAGGGGAGAGCGAGATAAGGAGAGGGGAAAGGGGAAAGAGAGAAAGAGGGAAAACCAGAGAATTACTAACTGGCCTGTGCGACCTTGTACGTGCCAGAAGAGACATCACGAAACTAGCTTTCAATGCTATGACAACTTGACACATTCAGATCTTGACTGGGCTTCAATGCCGCAGAAACTTGATAGATTTTTAAAATACATCGATAACCTCACGCAATAATTTCTCACGTCAAAAGGCCTTAGGAAAATCCCCTGTCATAAAAACGTAACAAGATTAAGTACATTAATAGTAGTGATATGTGACTCTAACAAAAAATAATTCGCTTGAACTTTTCAGTTGAGTTGTTTACCATTCTCATGATAATAATAACGATGACATTATATAATAATATGATACATCATAATATAATAATATTAATGATAATATAATAATAATAATAACAAACTTCAACTGGAAAATATATGAATAAGGATAGTAATGCAAGTAACATGTGACACGAAAATACAGATGATGAGGAGGAGGATAATGTTAATGATGGTGATGACGGAGGAGAAAAAAAAAAGATATTGATATTGATAATAATAATGGTAACATTATGTTTTTTCCCTACGAAACATGCGGTAGAACTAGGCCAAACATAAAACCCAGATTTTGACTCACCAGTTATGAGGTAAGTACCCTCAAGGAAGTATATATTCGAGGCCGAGGTATTGGACGAGTCCCTCTCGAATTCTCCCCCTCCATCCCCGAAGCTAATGAGGTAAGGAAGGTCGATGGTGATGGTCACTACAACCAGGGAATTGACAGGTACTTCTTTCTGCAAAGGTCGAGCTCGTCAAGTTTTTTGCAGCAGGACGCTACGCAAATCTGTGTTTCAGTTTGTTTTTTCTTCAATGTATATGATTCACCCGCCCCCCCCAAACGTTTTATATTTGGTTTCTCTCTTTTTATCTTGCTCCATGGCTCTCTGTCTCATGCTCTCTCTGAATCTCTCTCTCTCACTTTCTCATAACCACTGTCTGTTAAAGATAACGTTTCTATACTTAGCTACTGCAATGACATTCACAAATAAAAGTAAAACTCCAAAATCGGTATACTGGCGTTTCTAATGAGATTTAAGGCAATATCACACTACCACTTTTTCCGTCAATTATTTGCGTTTCAGAGTGAACTTTGCGTATGAAAATCGACTGACCCATGTAAAGAAACATGGCGCTATCGGAGTGAGAAATATGTATATTGTATATACGAATGTTCTAAAACATTAGCTCATGTTTACATTCACTCATCCTATCTAACTTATTAAAAGCACAAGATCAGCACGGAAATTAGTCAGACGGAAACGGTCGTAACCGTCTTGGTCTGGGAGGCGTTCCGTTTGCAAACGATACTTGCGGAGAGCCTCAGATTCAGACGGAAACGCAAACATTGACGGAAAAAGTGATAGTGTGACAGGGCCTTTACTCCAGTCCATTCAAACGGAATGCTGCACGAGAATGTAAACAAACGGAGGTGCCGCTTCTGCTGTCCACAGAAAAACGGGTGTACCAAGTATGAGGGCTGGCAACAATATAATTAATGTATGTACAATTAATTATGCCTACAGTTACTATATCACTCTTTGTTCTTTTCTCGAAATTCCTCAATCTTTTGGTCTCTTCACTTTCTTCTATTCCATCCATATTTTATGAAATTATCATATTTGTTTATGCTTTATCCTCACAGCCTTTTTTCTCTTAACCTTGTAATCCAACGCAAACCCACACAAAGACACGAACACGCACACACACACACATATATCACACTTATAAAAAACAAGCACATATACACACATGACCAATACAAACAAACATCTCGATACACACATACACACATCAGAATTGGTCCCATATCCAAGTGAACGTATGGGACATGTTCGTAAAAGAACATGTTGACTAAACCGCGAGGTGATGCGGTCGGGTGGCCAGTTCCTTTCCACCCCGATTTTGACCCCAACATGCTGACGTCAGCTTGTTAGCACTCACAACCAT